ACTGCCGCGCCGCCATCTAGCCGAGCGGGTAAACTTAACCTTTGGAAAATGTTAGCCGGTCAGATGCGACTCGCGTGTTTTATGCACAGAGAAAAACATAGAGTGGATTGTAATATAACTATTTATATAAAGTTGTAATCAGAATCCTTTGGTTACTAAGTTGATTTAATATCAAAAATCTATTGTTGAGCCGTTTTTATCATATGTAGTAACAAACATCCATCCGTTTTACTCTCTATTTAAAACTTTTAGGGCCTGTCCCACAATTCTTGTAAATTGTAAGATAACAACCCAACGTATAAAATATGTGATGAAAATATAGGATTTTGGGACTCTATCTCACAGTGACGTCACTATGATAGCATAAACTATCTGAGCCTCTATCAGCCAGTGGTGGGACAGACCCTTAAAATATCTACAAGTATTAGAAAGAAGAAAGATTTGTATTTTCGATTTTTTGTTTGTATTGAAATAACTCAAAAACTACTGTAATGATTTTTAAAATTCTTGCACCATTAAAAAACTACGTTATCACTGAGTAACATATTTGGGTAACATCTTTTTACTTTTTTTGTAATTTCACGCAGGCGAAGTCGCGAGCAACAACTAGTAATTTATATTCTTTGAATTACAATAATTTTAGTACTACTACTTGAAGATTTCTGTCCTATATCCGTAGCATAGACAGAATGTGAACGTCGCCTTGAGGCGCTCCTTTCTTCCGATTGAAGGTGACCTGGGAACTGCCACAGGATGCCATAGCCTTACTAACTCTTCCTATGCACTAGGAACTACTTTTTAAGCACTAGAATATTAAATAGGATATAAGAAACATTCCACACGTCTTAAAAGTTACATTTTTATATCTAAAAGCAAACGAGCAAGTGTCTAGTTCTTTCTAGGCTAGTATTTTTTCTAGTCGAGTATTTTTTTTTTATTGGGCGGTGCTCTGCCGCCCTCACTTTCCCCTAACATATTTTTTGATTAGGGATTTGGGCATCGGGTTTATTTTTTTATTTCTTTATTTTTGAATAGATAGAACTTAAATTTGATTTAAAATCTTATATCTAAATCACAGTATATTGCAGTATTTAAAGCCTAAGTACAGAGTAGTTTAGTAGCTTCATGTAGAGTCGCAGGAAATAGCGAGTTTTGTCTTAGAGTGATTTTTGTACCTCCTGCTGTGAGTTTGTAATATTTATACGCGGATGTTTTGTTTTTTTTAAGATCACGAAATTATATTACTGAGAATGGATGCCATTTATTATCTGTAATCTGAATTTTGACAGATCACGTCGGTTGTAGAAAATATGGCGTTTATATACTAACACTGACGGGCGCACACCTTTGAATAAACTATTTTACAACTCATCATCATCTTTCTCCTTATCCTACTCCCGTAGCGGCGCAACAGGTTTTTGTCCTCCACATAACTCTATACGTCATCTCAGTCATCACTCCCTTGATCATGTCACCTTTTACGCAATCCATCTCTTTCTAGGTCTATCTCTACTTTTTCAGAACTGTTCTGCGATTGTCGATTGTTTTGCAGCCAATTCAACTGTTTAGTTGCACAACTAGAAATCGTGTAGGGTACCACTATATAAGATCATAGGAATCAAAGCGCAAGTATCCTCTACATATATACCAAATTTCATCGAAATCCGTTCAGCCGTTACGCTACAAACTCTAACAAACATTCGCATTTATAATATTCGTATGATTATATACATCGAGTTACGTTACAAGGGAATTATTTTACAAGTGGATTACGTCGTGTTTCCACGACTGTACGTGACATCTATATCTGTACTATTATAATAAAGCGTAAACACACACTTCTTTGTTGCCTAAGATGTCAGCAATTACGGCATATTTTTGGATAATTCTGTCTATAATAAAAAGCCCTACACTTACGTCACACATTAGGCAATATATTTTAACGCCATTAAACTTAGGGGGTAAATATTTTGGATAAAAACCCTAATGTGGGAAAGAGACTATAACTTGCTGCTAACATCAAGCAAGCAAGATTGCCATTGTTTGTAATGTCGTCATTTTGACATTTGCTATTGATAATTTGACACATGTAAACAATAAAATAAAATTTTCATAATTTCATGCGGATAAAGTCGCAGAAGAACAGCTAGTATGAATTAAAAGGAGTCGTTTATTTTGTATTTTGTATACGTTATACTATGGCATTGAGAAACTGTTTCAAAAAATAAGTACATCGGTCATACATTCCAGCTGGCGCGTAGTGACGTCATCAAGGCACCTTTTTTAAGCTCACGCATTTTACTACAGATTGATAAATGTAACTGCAAGGTGTTTCGAGATTTTTGTACAGTACAATATGTTCGCTAAATAATGGTGCACATAAATTATTCGGCGCTATTATTGTATATTATAAACTTGGAAACGTATTAATTATATAAATTACTAGCTTTCGACCGCGATTTGGCCCGAGTGGAGTTAAAAAAAGGAAGGTGTATCCTATGTGTTCTTCCAGTCTATCCTTTACGCCTACGCCATATTTTATGGAAATCCATTCAGTAGATTAGGCAACAAACTTTCGCAATTATAATATTAGTAAGATTAAGTTATTTTTGTTTTAAAACAAAACCCTAAACTCTAGCAGTCCATTTTGTGTTCAAATAAGTCTGAGATAAAAAATACAGTTTCTTTCTTTCTTTTCTTTACCTTTCAACTTGCAAATGTATAACTAATTTTTTATTACAAATAAAATTTGCAAACAAGGATGTCAAAAATATCCTAAAGAGGTCAAAGCCACTTCACTGAGATCTAGGTAATGCGTGAGGTTATAATCAGTTTGTCTAATTTGATCTACATAATGCACTGTTTTTAGTCGTATGATTAAAGATCGTAGTTAGCCTGATCCAAATTTGACAAATCAGCGAGTACCAAGGTCTGCCCTATCACGAAGCACATCGTTACAAGACCTCAACGATGTATCTTGTATTGAAACACGCAATACAAAACACACTTTTTACACTGCAAACGTTATTTGCAGGGAACGTAGTAACCTTCGATGAAGTTAGATATCTCTGAGATGTTATCTGTACGTCTATACTTCTATACTATTATAATAAAGCGTAAACGCACACTTCTTTGTTGCCTAAGATGTCGGCAATCTTACAACATGCTTTAGGCTTATATTTCCACGCTATTGAAGGAGATAAATAAATTGGAAGAAATCCTTCACGTGGGAAAGGGATCATAAATTACAAGCTGCCAACATTAAGGAAGCAAGATTATTA